ATCTAGGACGACTAACTTGCCCTTAGATGCAATCCTACCTTCGCGGTTCTCTTTGGTTGAATGCCAAAACCGGTTTTATGAAGGTCACCCTCATTTAAAAGAACAAAAGAAATAAAGAATAGATTAACTAATATAAAGGCAGGCTCAGTGTCAGGATCTCATCCGGCTTAATTTGGCGGGGGGCGGGGAGGCTGCGCGGAACCGAAGTGCTCTTTTCCCTCTTCTTTAATGAAAGTTTTTGGTGAGCAAAGGAAAAAATAGAAGACTAACGAACAAGCCTGGACTCTGGGGAGAGAGAGTTGCAGGAGAGGATGCTTTTCAGCCCCGGGCCCCGATCCTCGACTTACAAAGTGACACGGATGTCCAGAAAGCAGCCCTCCAAGGAAGCGCGCTTGGGGAGAGAACAAAGCAATTCTCAATGGGTCTGCAGCTAAGTAAAGCTTCTCAGGGAACACGCTTGGGATGAGAAGAACGAACTTTTCGGGCCAGTACGATCTGGGCGCGTAAATTCGCCTCTCCTCACGTGCTTTCCCTGTGATCTCGGTGGCCTTTTGTGGTTGTTGTGCTCTGTGATGTTAGATGCGACACGTCGGGTGCTACTAGCCAACGTCAGTCCGACTCAGAGGAGACCCATGGAAATGAATGGGCAGTAATTTAACATTAAGGTTCCACTCAATTTCAACGGGTCCGCTCTCTGAGTAAAAACTTCCTTGGCTGTCTGTCACCCGCTGGCTTTGGTTTGCGCGGGCGCGAGACAAGGGAGTCAAGACCAGATCCCATTGGGATCCAGTGGGGCGTTCTGTGTCCTGGGGATGCCAGCTATGCATGGCACACACCTCCCTGGGAGTAAGCCCACTGAAGACAGTGGTACTTTTCTCAGAAGTAAGAGTTGGGTTTCACCTGTCCCCTTCCCTTCCTACCGGAGGTGGTGGTTGACTTCTGCTGGGTGACCCCCAACCCGCCCAGATCCTTGCCAGTCCTCGCAACAGGGATCATCAGCATATCACGGGATCTCGCTTTATTACACGACAGGGTTTGATTTTTTTTTATAAAGCTTTTGTTTTGCTTTTAAAAATAATTTGGATGTGGTGCATTTAAAATCCATATGCATTTATTATTATTATTATTATTATTATTATTATTAACCCCCCTTTTTTTTAATTGCAAGGAGCCATTATAAAAGAATTTGGATGTGGTGCATTTTAAATCCATATGCATCTATTATTATTATTATTATTAATTATTATTATTATTATTATTATTATTACCCCCCCCCCATTTTTTTCCCATTGCAAGGAGCCGTTATAAACCAGCAGTGGTGACTATGGTTCCTTTTCCAGTTCCATGTCGCTGAATCCCAGCCCTGTCCCGAGCTGTTTCGATGCAACAGAATGGGACTTTGCTGATTTCCATGTGATAGTTTTGCATTTGTCGCGGAGCATGTTGTTTTGACGCTCCTGGAGAGCCCAGTCGGGCCATTAAAAAATATGAAGGTAGATTCAGAAAAGGGGAGCGGAATTCACAGAGAAAAAATATATGAGCGCAAAACTTCCCAGTCGAAGAGGACATTATTGATTTATAGGAAAAAATAATCCATAGCGTTAGGAAATTTGTTATATTATAGTAGAGGACCCAAAGCTACCTATTTATGAGAAGAGCTCGAAATTGTTGCTGTGAATTTATAGGTCTCTGAGTACTATTTTACGCATGGAAACCCACTGAAGACAATGACAACTCCCCCAGCGTAAAGAGAGTTTGATTCGCCTGCAAAAGAAAAATTGCGATGGAGGCATAGATCTATAGATCGATGGTGATATTACAACGGATATATTACGAACCACGTTATTCCTCACTTTTGCAGACGCTGAAATGTTTGGATTGCTATTGTGCGGTCAGCATAACTTTAGGAGAAAGGAAATTTAAAAATTAGCAACGTAGTCCTCTGGGATATATTCATTGAATTTAGGCGAACATGAATAACTTCCTGTCTCCCGGGGGCTCAGAGAGCTTTAAAGCAGCCCCCCCAACCTATATATATGCCCCCAACTCCCATTACATTCGTAGCCGAAGACTCTGCTCGCTTTCCTGGGTCTAACCCCCGCCCCCCGGATATAAGGGGGCTCACTTCCAGTTGCACATTAACATAATTTAAGAAGCAGTGCTGCAATCCTAAACGTGTCTACTCCGAAGTAAGTCCCTCTGGGTTCAGTGGAGCTTCCTCCCAGGGCATAGCTGTCAACTTTTCCCTTTTCTTGCGAGGAATCCTATTCGGAATAAGGGAATTTCCCTTCTAAAAAAGGGAAACGTTGACAGCTGTGTCCCAGGGAACTGCGTCTGGGATTGCAGCCTAAAGGACTTGGGGGAGGGGGGGAAAGACCAAATGAGTCAAAAGGTCCCTTTCTGAGGCATCCAAGTGAAAAGTGATCTGGGGGCTCAGTCGATCCCATTCCTTCCCCACCAACAAAACAGAGACGAGCGACAACATCCCCGATATTTTATTTGGGTGCTATTTGTTTCTTTGCTTGTTCACTTTGCTTAAGCCGTTTTATTCGCTCCTTGCCTTGGAAAGTTTTACACAGGAAGGCAGGATCCAAATATTGTCAAATGCCTAAATTGTACAGGGCAGGTATCCTGAGCGTATCCGTTCGGGAGGAGCCGGCCTCGCTGTTTTCAGCGCAGTTTACTCGCGAGTAGGTGTGTCTGCGGCTGCAGGCGAAGATCGAGCGCACACACTCCCGCCAGCACTGAAGGGCCTGACGCGGCGCAGACCGCAGCTCCCAAGGAAGGTTCGCAAGAGACGAAGAGCTTCGCGGGTCCGAAAGACTGCGAAAAACTCGGGCGAAGCGCCCCTGGCCCTGTCCGAGCCCGGCGGGGAAGGCGGATCCGGGCCGAGGTTGCTGGAATAATGCGCGCTTCTTGGGGGACACTTTGCATACGAGTTTTCGAAAGGTTTTATTTCGTTGCTATTGGAGAAGTCTGCGTTGAAAACGCGCAGCCTGAGGGAAAGTACCTTGGCTCACAGAAATAGCTCTTCCAAAGAAGGGTGTGTGTGTGTGTGTGTGTGTGTCTGTGTGTGTGTGTGTGTGTGTGTGTGTGTGTGTGTGTGTGTGTTTTAAAAACCAAAAACTACACATATATAAGGCGCCAGGAGAAAACATTCCTCCGCAATCAGGCCTTCAGCCATTAATAATCTTTGGCTTTTTAATGGTCCCCCCCCTTCTAATTTTGAACTGAGTTTATCTGGTTGTGTTTTATATTGTTAAATCGCTTTGAAATAGTGTCACACTACGCAAAGAAATATAATTAATAATAATGATATATTCAGTAATTAATGACAGTTCGCCTTGGCACAGAACGAGGCGTGGCACGATGGTGAAAGCAACTCGGAGAGCTGCAAGGGCCGCGATCCCCGGCAAAGAAGACAAGTCCTCAACATCAAGCGGACACCCAGAGAGAAGGGAAAGGCAGAGGCTCCGCGGCTGCGACTTTTTGCTTTTCTATTTTACGCCGCGGATAGTTGCAAGGCAGCCTAGCGACGTCTGCAATTTTATCTTATTTTTTTATAATTTTTCATTAGCGGGAAGTGCAAAAGATAACTTACAGCAGCACCCTTTACAGCGCGCATAAAATTTTTATTTTTTGTTTTCCTACACCCTTCTTCTTTTTAGTGGCATCTGCAGAGGTGGGTGGGTGGATTTAAAACAAATCAAACTGAGGCATCAAAGGCCTCGAGGAACAAAATCCCTCGGGGGGGGGGAGAAGAGGCCAAGGAGTTTAAAAAGCTTTAATAACAAGAACAACAATAATTCCGAAGATGAAAATCGACAGCCTTTTTTCCCCTTTTTCTTTCTTGCCAACCGGCGAGCAGAACTGAAAGAGAGGAGAAAATGCAAGGGTCGCCACGTCTCGGGTTTGCTGCCGGTACTGGTTACTCCCCATCCCAAATAAATTGCGCCTTAGCGAGCCTCATTGACCGGGGGCAGATTCAGGGAGAAACGGGTCTTGCGGCAAGCTGGATCTCCCTTGACTGGCTCTAGTTCTTCCCTGCTCTTAGAGGGCGGAAATCTCTTTTAGAGACTGAATCCCTCAGACACCACCGCAAAGGTGAGGGCAGCAGGACTCAGATTCACCTCAGATCCAGCTGCTCTTTGTGATGTTCTTAGCGTTGGGTGTATCAACTCAGATCTAACAAAACCGACCTGAATATACTAAGAATGTTCTCAAAAGGATATATTATATCTTGGCAAAATCATGTCAGCACCGCAAGTACAATTCGATGGGCTCCGGAAGACCCTGCAAGCGACCCCGCTCCAGGCCACAAGGACGTGTTTCCCTGTCCCGAGCCCGCGCGCAGACTCCGGACGCTGCGTCGACTTTCCAAAGCAGGGAGCGATCGGATCGCAGCCGTGGTTGGAAGTCCCGGGGCTTAACGAGGGAGGGATGGACAGAGCAAGCCCTGGCACGCTTACTCCAAAGTAGACCTCAGTGTGCGCAATAGAGGTTCCCACCCCTCAAATCAGTGTCTGCAGCCTCCAGCACCCGCTCCGGGGCCGCGCAAAGCGAGTCAAGCGCCGCTGACATCGGAGCGAACGCGCGGAAGGGAAGACCAGGGTTTGCAGCTGGGAAGAGCCCAGATATTTTCAGACGGGTGACTGAGCTTCCTTGGAGATCGCTGGGACCCTGTGTGGCGTGTGTGTGTGTAAACAAATTATAAGAGTTCGAAGGGACACCAAGGGTCATCTAGTCCACCCAACCCCCGCAAGGCAGGAACCGGTGCGGAATAACCTCGAGGACATTTCGGATCGCGCTGCTGGCCCCGTCTAAACGCGCTTTGCGAAAGTTTCCCGAACTTCGCAGACGGAGCGCTCCTTCTCGCCTGAACGGGTTGGGGATGTTCAGATTTGAGGAAGAGGAGGAGGAGGAGGAGGAAGGCATTCACGTCCGTCCGTCCCCCCCCCCCCCAGCCAGCCAGCCAGTCGGCCAGCCAGCCTAAGCTAACCCAAGGCCTTGGCGCCCTTCCAGCTGGAGAAGGGAGGGAAGCAGTCCTTAAAATAGCAAGCTCTGCCTGCCCGGGCGTCCCAGGCCCGAACAATGGGGCGCTGCGAAGGGGGTGGGGGTGCGGACTTGATTGACAGCCGGCTTGTCCTCCGAAGGCGCGGCGGCTTATATAGAGGCTGGAGGTGGGGAAGGCAGAGCTAGAGAGACAGAGACAAGCCGGGAGGGAGGCTGGGTGCGGGTGAGAGGGAGTCACAGAGCCAGGCGCAGCGGGAAGGCGGATCCCTGGATCTCCTAGCCAGGCGATCTCCTCCGGCCAGCCTCTTCTCTCTCTTTTTGGCTAGAGCTGCCAGCCTCCGCCTACCGCCCCCCCCCAGTTCCGGCCAAACTCCGTTCCCCTTCCCCGGCGCGCTTCGTTTTCCTCCGCCCTCCTCGCCGCGCTTTCCTCGGGGACTCCTCGCTCGGCGCTCCAGCCATGCACTGCCAAGCCGAAGCCCGGCTGGCTCCCCCGGGGCCGCTGAAAGCAGCCAGGCGGCGCTACAAGACTTTCATGATCGACGAGATCCTGTCCAAGGAGACGTGTGATTACTTCGAGAAGCTCTCGCTCTACTCCGTCTGCCCGGCGTCGCTCATCGTCCGGCCAAAACCCCTCCACTCCTGCTCCGGTAAGAACCGCTGCCGGGATTCGCCCTCGCCGCCCGCCAAGGGGACCCTTTGCTGCTTTGCCCTCTCCAGGCGAAGGAAGTGGTAGAAAAGTTTGAGGAGGAAGGGGAAGCCTTCTTTGGGGAGCCTCACATTTATCACTCCTGTTGCCGTTGGGGTTTACACCATTTTTACAACATATAATTAGCATATTATAAATTATATTTATATGTATTTTTACATATAAATTACATTTTTCTTTTTTTAAAAAAAGTATTTAAAAGGAGAAACAAACTTATCAAGACATGAAGTGATAGATATATGTTGTAAACAGCCCCGTGATCTCTGGATGAACGAGTGGTATATAAAGTTAATAAATAACAATAACTAAGAATTAAAGTTGACCTACCCCCTCCTCACCTGGGAGTAAGCCTGGCTGCATTCAATAGCTAGGATTGTGCTGGTGAGGACAGCACTGTGTGCCAGAAAATAAATAATTGGAAGCTACTTTGAGCAATGCAAACCCCTTGGAAAGGTGGAATAAAGAACACTTGGAATAAAATAAATTAAATTCATGTTCAAAGTCAGTGAAACCTGCTTTGATATGTCCATAGCTGTCAACTTTTCCCTTTTCTTGCGAGGAATCCTATTCGGAATAAGGGAATTTCCCTTTAAAAAAGGGAAACGTTGACAGCTATGGATATGTCCTGCTGGTGAGGAAGAAACAACATGTTGTGTCCACAACTTTTCCAAGCATGAGCAACCCCCACCCTTCAAAAATCAGCACAATCAGTCAGATTGCAGTTAGGATAATTCCACCGGTTAGGGACTGGCAACTGGAGACCCCAGGCTGAATCTGGCCCTCTATAAAAAAGTGCCAATCACTTCCCTGACCCAACAAGCTGTTGGTGACCCAGGTGTGTGGAGGGCCCAGTGGCTGGTGGGCAATAAGATTTACCAGCGGTTCATGGTGGAAGATGAGGATCAAGGCCCCACCACCATCTCCAAAGTTTCATAGAATCACAGAATTGTAGAGTTGGAAGGGACCTTGAGGATCATCTAGTCCAACCCCCTGCAATGCAGGAATACGCAGCTGTCCGATACGGGGTTCGAACCTGCAACCTTGGCATTATCAGTGCCACGCTCTAACCAACTGAGCCATGCAATCCCATAGAATTCTTTCCAGAGCAGGGCCATATGACAATCCAATTATTTTGGAGAAGGCGATTTCTGAGTGGCCAAATCCTCAATTCCAGTTTGAGCTTCTGTCCTCAAAGCAGAGAGCTGCTCTGTTGACACCTCCTGCTCATTCCAGTGGTGCCCTTGAAAAAAAGGGTTTTGTGACAGTGTGTGTAGCGGTGCCACTGTCACCACCAACAGTAAGGGTCTAAACCTCCCGTTCTGCCTCCCCTTAGCACACAGCTATCCTCTTGGTCTAGCAATGTCAGAAATGATGGTATTAATTTTGGGGAGCAGGTGGACTTTGCAAGCATGAAAAAAGAGAGTGAGAATCTGCTCCAGCGCTCGTAGGAACATGCAGAGAGCTACCTTAGACCCAGCCAGATCACTGCTCCATCTAGATCAGTATTGTCTACACTGACAGGCAGTGGCTCTCCGGTTTTTCAGGCAGGAATTTTAACACACACACACACACCCAAGTCCTTCCTGGAAATGTCAGTGTTTGAGCCTAGTACCTTCTGCATCCGGAACAGGTGTTCTACTTTTGCATTAAGGTCCTTTGTAATTGTCAGGATTGGTTAAAATGCATTAGTTAGTTGTTTGGTTGTTGTTGTTTGGTTGTTTTTTTGAAATTGCAAAGCAAAAAGAAGGAGAGAGATGGATTCCTCCCTCCCCCCCAGTTTCTTCATTTAAAGCTGAAAGGTGACATGAGGTTGATTTTAAGCCATGCTGATGATTGTGAGTGTGGAAATGGAATGCTGGCCGTGATTCTGGGTTAATCGGGAATAAAACGATGGTGGTCTGGATGGCTGTGTATGTGTATGTCGGATGGAGCTTTCCGTTTGAGCTGAATAAGAGTGTAGATAAACTCTGAACTAGGAGGAGCTGATGAGTTTATCAGAAGAATCCAATGGCTTTGCTCTGGCATAGGCGAGATGTGTTTCTCCCCCTCCACTAAACAGTTTCTTTTCTGGTTTTTAAACACTCTTTGGTAGAAACTGGATCTCTCTCCCTGCCAAACTCTTTATTTGTGTGTGATTTGGAGAAAAGGACTCTTGCTGGGTTGTATTGGCCCAGAAAGGCGCTTACTTCTATTCTGTGGGACTGCATATACCTTCCAATTGAAGTTCAAGCATTTCTTTCCACTTGCTTCTCCTTGCTTGGCAGATATGTTACAGTGCAATGAGTGGAGTTAGATCAGGGTGCCCTGAGTTCAAATTCTGGACCTCGTCTGATAACCTTGGGCAAGTTGCTTTCTCTCATGCTAAATCTACCTTGCCTGTTTGTTGCGAGGATAAAATAAGTAATGCTCAACTGGAGCTTTGGAGGAAGGATGGGAAAGCATGTACGAGGTGAGGAGTCCCATTGTCCTCCATGGTGTAATCTAATTACAAGACAATTGCTTCAGTCTGTTTCCTTGTTAGGAAACAGGCTCAGATGAGATCCCTGGGCACTGACTTTTGGTAGAGAAGGTTCGTTGCAAAGTGTCTGTACGTGTTCTGTTCTTGTGGTTTGGAAGCTTCCACTTGCAATATCTTGTAAGTAGAATGGGCACTCCTTGGATTAAAGATTGCCCCATAGGAATTCATCAATTACCGGTATCTGCGCAAGCAGTGAATGGTAAAATTGCACTTGCAGGCGGTTCTGGGTTGACAGTGGGCATCAGAACCCAAATCCATGCTGGTGATGCATGAGTATGAAAATGCTTCAGTCACTCAGGATTTGTGAATTATATGACATAAGGAACTGGAGAAGAGTTGATCAAAAATCTTTCAGACCCTTTTTTCGCCACAAAATATAAATATAAATGTGCATTGAGAAGTTTAACTTGGCTGAGTCACCTGTGTCATTTTTTGATGAAGGAAGGAAGGAAGGAAGGAAGGAAGGAAGGGATTTTACTTGGAGCAAAACATACCTGTCGCACAACCTACAGCCATTCCTCTGCGACTCGCCTAGGGTTTCCGCTGAAGTTAAGCACAGTTGCCCAATGAACGTGTGATGTGAGATAAGCCATTGTTCATTGGATTCTCCCATAGGTATTGGGCACTTAGCTTCACCTGTGGCAATGCTCCATTTGATGAAATTTAATAGGCTGGTGTATTTTCTCCCAGGGTCATAGACTTCCCCTGCCCTGCTTGGGATAAAACAACTGGATTTTTGATGTCCAACAAATCATTTTTATAACAGTTAAAAGGAGGCAAGTCAGTGGGCAGCTATATCACCGTTTCAGATTTGATAGTCATATTATGCTTTCTTTTCTTTTCACAACTGAAATAATTAAGAAATTCTCATTGAAATCCAATAACATAAGAAACAAGCACCCTATAATCTGTCATGCACATCCGTAGTGCCACAGCTGTTATTAGTGGTATAAATGCAGAGAAACGGCACAATAATTGTATTAGAAACCATGGATCACTTCAACAACACATGTCTGTGAAAGCAAAGAAGGGGGTTATTTAGTTCGGTGGAATTAACTTTTGTTTTGTTTCAGGGGTACTATGAGATGGTGTCTATTCTGGCTTTACTTTAAATCTCTGTGTCCCTCTGTTCAGTGCTGATAGCCTCCTAGACTTCAGTCCTAGGGATACAAACAGAGAAGACTTAGGCTGTTTATAAACCACTGTGTACTCAGCATCCAGCATCTATCCCGTTGTTCCTTGTGAAATACTGCATTTTGATGCTTTCCCCCCACAAACCGGCTTCTGTCTGAATTGAAAAAAGAAGGATCTAGCAGCTTTAAGACAGTAATGTGTATACAGCCTTAAATCATGCTGAACCTAGTGAGATGGACTTCTGAGTCAATGAGTTTAGGGTTAGACTGTCTTTCCATGACACCCCCACCATTTGGGAATAACCAGTTTCATTTGCCCAGGTGTTTGAACATCTTTATATCTCAGTCTGGAGTAAGAGAGTGCATACTATAAGCAGATTGTGTCATTAATTAAATTGTTAGAAAAGTGCCCAGAGGCCGAAACTCTCCTTCCCCCGACTTTCCAGAGCAACCCATACTTGGAGATTATCTGGGTACAGCATTATCTTGTCATTCGAATTTTCATATCAATTTCCTCTGAACTTTCCCTTTTTCACAAGCAGGGAGCCAAGAATTTTGGATTAAATAGGTACTTATTAAAGACCTGAAGGCAAGATTTCCCCTTTACGGTTTTGGCTCAAGTTTTTTCTTTAACTATAGAAAAGCCCGGAGAGAAAGGGAATCATTGCAAAAATGAAATTCCTTTTTAAAAAAAGAAAAGAAAAAGAAAGAAAAGCTGCTGAAATTACATTTCCAGGCAAAAATCCCAAATCAGCTTGTGAAAGCATCCTTAGACTTCAGGCACCATTTTTAAATGAGCAATTCTGTATCATGTGAAAGATCATTCTGTGCAGAGGAGATTAGAAAAAGGGGAATAATTTCTGCCACTAGATTTAACTATGTGTAAACTATCCTTCCCACAAACTTTCTACAGGAGCAGTATGAAACCAGACCCACGGAAACTATATCCATGCTTAATGCTATCACTTTCCCCTGGGGTTGAACTTAATTTGAAAAGATGCATTTTCATATTTTTAATTAGTTGCGTGGGCTACCATGAAACTTTTTTATGATCATCCTGCCTTGGGGAGCGGTGTGGGGCTACTCACTGTAGTTTTCTGAGCATGTAGTAAACTTTGGTGACTCAGTGGCTGCTCACAGATGACTCTGTTACGAACATTTACACGCCTTATTTACCTGAATTCTAAATCTTTGCGTGTTTGAAAAGCAGTGAATCAGTAGTCTAGAAATTGTTCCAGTAGCCTCAGTTGTTTCCTGCAATTTGTTTGAATGCCATAGTATATAATTCTTTGAGTGGTGTTGGCTAAAATGTTAAGAATTTGGGTTGTTGGGTTTTTTTTTGCCAGGCTGGTTAAAACCAAAACCAAAACTCTACTATGATTAGGCGCAGTGTTATTATTTCGTACTGTGCCACTAATGTGTATGCTACTTGGCACTTCACAGCATAAACAATAGAGAGGTCTCTGCAGCAAGGGGGCTGCAATTTAATGGCCGAGAATGGTGGGGAAACCAGGGGAAGAGAAGGCTGTCGTTGCAGTGGAAAATAAAAGTGGGGAGAAGGTGATTTAAGATTTTGCTAAAAGGTGAATTTTACAGAAGATAGAAATGAACCCATAGAGCTTTTCAGGATAGATTTCTAGACACACACACACACAAAAAAAAGGCAGTATCAATTTTTCTAAACCACAGTATGTCAAATTAGAAACTTCCCACGACTAAACTTTACAGTGGATGCTTGATTCGCACCACTGTTCATGGAAAGCGAAGATAAAAGATCCTTAAACTGATCTGCAGATGAGGCTGATATATAGATATGGGTGATGTTAATAAGACTTTTTGTAACCAGAGCTCAGTTGCTGATTTAAACCTTGGCCTGAGTCACTGCTCCCAGTGTTTTCGTAAGCAGGAGAAGAGTCCAAATGGCAGTGTAAAAATTAGCACAGTGCAAGTCTTATTTAATTAAAAATTTATATTCCCATTTAAGAACAACGGGAAGAAAAAGAAAGCTGCATAATTTCCCCAGCTCCAGCATTTAAACTGCTTACTCAGATATCCTCCCGTCTCTGAAAGCTAGAAGATGAAGGAAGAAGGCATCATGTAACTCTGCCCAGGCGTGACCGCCCTTAATTGAAACCGTGTAAAGTTTGCCCAGATATTACAGCAAAGGCTGCTTCTAAAATGCTTGGAATAATAATCTTCATAATTAATCACTTCATCTTTGCAGCTGTGCAGCATGGCAGACCTTTCTCACATCGGGAGTCAAATCTCCGAGTATTTGTGTTGGCCGGCATGGCGACCATCTCTCCTTTTCATCTCGGAGCCACTTGGTTGGGAGGGTCAGAGACGTCTTCTTCAATCCTCTTGGCGGTCCCACTGAGACTGGAATGAGATAAGATGTCTGCAGACTTAAGCCTAAGAAGCAGAGCAATCTAACA